AGGCTAACTAGTTTTTATGTCCCTAGGGTAGTCCTAGGAAGGTAAGAAAAGAATTTTACTTCTTTCTGATTCAGTCCTAGGGAAAATCAGAATTTTCATGCAAATATTTTTTATTTTTTATTTATATGTTCTAGTCATATGTATTACATATAAAATGTATGTATTCCTTTTTTCTGATTAAAAATGATGTAGGCTTATCATAAAGAATTTGGAAATCAATTATGTTCTTTCTGCTCTCTAGAGATAACCACAATTAATATTTTGTTTTATTTCTTACTAATCTCTCTTCTGTATGTATAATTTTTATTTTTAAAAAATCTGGGATCATCTCATACCTTCTTAAACTTTTGGGGAATATTCTGACCCTGGATCATATTGATATTTTAGAGACAGAATTGTATTTGCTGAGAGCCTCTAACCTTGAATGCACAGTACAGTAAATATAATTGGATGAGCCAGTTTTCTCTCTTTTACTGTCATATTCAGATGGAATCATAGAATCTTAAAATTAGTGAGGACCTCAGATATCAGGGAGATCAGGATCCATGAAATTGTGTTTTAAATATCACACATACCAGAGGACAAGAAAGTGTAGTTGATACTCCTAGACAGTACAAGTATACTGTGAGTTTTTACACCTATTGCTTGATTGTCAGCACCACATCACAGGCAGAAGGATAGACCCTGTGATATACAATTTTGCTGGTATGTAGAGGCTGATAACTGTTGATAACCAAAGAGAAAATTCTGTTCCTAAGATCTAAATGGTGCCTATGAGCCTAATGATATGGGTCTTCATAAACTATTGCTTTCATTCTGTAGTGATCAGTGGAGAGCTGTCAGTATTTTTATTTCACGAAAGGAAGTGAACTCAATTTTATTTTTAATATATTTGTCACAGAAATAATATAGACTTATCAATGGAATATTAAAAATATAAAATGCTTTAAAAACCACAATCTTTAAGGATTCTATGGCAGCTCTCCAAAGTTAAAGAAACATTTAAATTTGGGATTAGGGTGAAAAAGTTTTGAATTGAGAGAAAGGGGTTGCTCTGAGGATGAAGATACTAATTAATTTAGATTCTTATTATAAAACCATTGCAAGTACACTAAAGAAAGAGAATTAAAACTTAACTTCCTTTAAATTTAGTGAAATTATTATATTTAGTAAATTTAGTTTAATTTCGTTAAATGATGATATTTAACTTCTCTTATTCTCTCTGATTGAATCAGCCATTTGGAACCTGTATACTGGCTGACTTCTAGAAACCACAAACTGAGTTAATGGCTTATCTCCCCATGTAAATGAATGGAGATGCCAGATAAAATAAAACTTAACAAAATGCCCACCTCTTCCCCAAACCCTTGTAATTTTTCCTATAAAGAAAGAAGAAAAGAAGGAGGAGAAAAGGAAAGGAGGGAGGGAGGAAGAAACAAACCCCAGCTGGAAACAACAGGAGCAGTTACATATTTTACTGCAAACATAGCATCTGTATAGACATTTTTGTGCTCTGATAAAGACGTTGCTATTAGACATTTTATGGATAGACCTGTGGTTACTCCACTTCTATATCACATTGGGACACTTTATTTTGTGAAGAGTCTTTGAGCCCAAGTTAAAATTATTGTAGTCTGTCCTAGTCTTTTCTTAGATTCTCAAATCCTAATCTGGAAAACTACACACACACACACACACACACACACACACACACACACGGACTATGATCATTCATTTCTACAAAAGTCTAGAATAGCATTTTTTAAACTTTTTATTGTGATAAAATATATATACCGTACATTTTGTCATTTTAACCATATTTAAATGAAAAAGGCAGTGACATTAATTACAGTCGCAGAGTTATACAAACATCACCGCTATTTCCAAAACTTGTCATCACTCCAAACAGAAATTCTACATATTAAGCAATAACTCCCCATTCCTTCCTCCTCCCAGCTTCTATTAACCTCTAATCTACTTTATCTCTGAACTTGCCAATTCAAGAAGTATCGTATAGGTAGAATCATACAATATTTGCCCTTTGGGTCTGGTTTATTCACTTAGCATAATGTTTTTAAGGTTCATCTGTGTTGTAGCATGTATCAGAACTTAATTTTTTATGGCTGAGTACTATTTCTTTGTATTTAGATACTACATTGTGTTTATCCATCAGTTGTTAAACACTTGGGTTGTTTCTATCTATTGGTTATTGTGAGTAACGCAGCCCTGAATGTAGGTATACAAGTATCTGTTCAAGTCCTTAGAATAGCATTGTGCAAACTAAGAAATTTAGAAAAATTAAGTCATCTGGAGTTCCGCTATTGACTAAAATTATTTTAGTGTAACTTAAGTATATCCAAACATAAAACTATGAATTAACTTCTTATGCTTTTAGCTGTTGTAAAATCGAAACCAGTTTTTCAATTAAATAAAAATAAAACTATGAAATCAATGCAATTAAACTGAATAATTTTCATAAAATTATATTTACTGAAAGTAAGTGGATTTTGTTGATTTTAATAGTGTATAAAGATATATTTACATTTTGGGTGCACAATGGACTATTATTTTAGCTTCCATTATTATTATATTTCCTTTTAAACAGTGAACTTTTTAAAGCCACCAAGCCATTATTTTGATTGGCAGTCTATTTGCTAGAGTATCCCAGAATTTAAATCTGGAAAACAAAAATTTAAGGAAGAATTATTTGTTGCATTTTTACTATAATAGTTTTATTAATGAACAGTTGGCAAGCAGGTGCCTATAAAGACAAATCTATATAATATATCCATTTGTTATCAGATATTGGCTGCTACAGCGCAGGGTTAGCAGTTAGGTTCATTCCAGTTATTTTTATTGGAACTTGTTTGAATTGCTAACTTCATAGTATCACCTGACCTTTATTTGTTGAAATATTTAGTTCATCTCTGTTTATTATTAGCTCATTTCCATGAAACTAGTGCAATAGTACTCTAGAGTAATATGTTGTTTTCATGATGTTAAATCAAATTCTTAGTATATTATAATAAAACTTAAAAGTCTTATTCCATAAAATGTCTTTTACTTGTAAATTATACTGCAAGAATATAGTTTTTCATAACAGTAAAAAACTAAAATATGAACACAACAATGGGACACAAGATAATGGTTGTTATTTTGACATTAGTGTATTCTTACTCAAAAGCTATTAGACAAGCTTACTAATACTTGAAAAGATAAATTCTGTCTCTCTAAGATATCACTTGGCAATCTTAAATATAAACACAAAAACTAGCTGGAACACTGAAAATCCTTTGTCATGGTGAATCATCTTTCGGGATTCAGAATATTCTAGTATTTACTCTTTATTAATAAAAACATTTTTAATGGTCACAGAATTTACATAACCCAAAGAATATACCAAAGCATACAAAAGGATAACACCTCCCTGTTTTGACAAATCTGGTCCACAACTCTAATGCTTACTCACAAAGAGTAAAGCTGATCTGCCAGAGTTGATCTGCCACTTAAAAATGGGGAGGTTATGATTTCCAAACTTTACATGAACTCTATTTTTACAACAAAGTTAATTTATTATTCCTTAATTAGAAATAGAATTGCCATATGGATGAATTATTGTATTGCCCAGTTAATGCATTTTCTTCCTACTTGGAAAACTAAATTATGAGAAGGTTGCTTGATAAACACAGAACCTCTACACAAAGTAGGCACTCAGTGAATGTTAAGGAATCGTTTTGATAGCCCCCTTCAACACCTATATTACTAAAAGAAAAACACTGTCAAATTAACCTTAATAAATGATTATTTTCCAATCAATGATAATTTTACTTTCTCTCAATTCCATGTTAACTCCATGTCAACTCTCAAATTTCTGTTTTCTACCTAGTTATACCACTTTCAAAACAAGTTTCCAAGTGTTTTTAATGAAATCTCAACTCAATTAACCTATGGGAAAAAAGTATAACAAATAACACTAATTCAGTATGCAGATTCCCAGAAGAGAGTCCTCTTTCTGACCAAGGCTTTTTCATTTTTGTTAACTGATGATGTTCTTCTTGATCACCTTTCTGGGGTGGAGACTTATAAATTTATTTACTTACTGCCAATAACATGCCTTTCACTTAATATTAAACATTTTCTGTATTTACCTTACATGATTTTGTACCTAATTATATTTATAATTCTTGATTAGCCATATTTTATCTCCACAAAAGAAATAAAATTTTAATGACTACATGTGATTTAGTTAATCTAGAGAGTGTCCTTCTATAGACATTAACAGATGCACACTGTGCTATCTCTGTTTTTTTACTTTAAAAATTAGGTTTAATAAATATAGTTTATTTTTTTACCATATTACTCCACAGTACAGTTTTCTAGTATTTAATACATTCCAAAGCGTAAAGTGTGGCTTCTCTAGCGAGCCACCACTAAAGGTCAAGAATCCACATTTATATCCTTTATAGTACCTTTTGCATGCAGTAGGAGAGAAATAATGTGTTCTTAATAAATAATTAGATAAATAATATAAATGGGTATTACCTGAATTGATTCCATTAATAGTTAAAAATTCCTACCTTGATTTTATCATGACTGCTCATCCAACCGATAGAAGTTCAGTCTTGCCATAGCCTTCCAGAAAAGACATTATTCAGGAAAAAAATATATTCGACTATTAGAAAGAGGACTTTTACTGTAAATAAATATGATATTTCCCTCTTTAGTCACCCTCCTCCACTGTCAGTTTTGCCAGCTTGCTAGTAAGCAGCACCTCTTTTGTTGCCACTTGAACCCCATTTCATTTTTAAATTTTCAGAAAGGTTCAGTAGAAATTCTTAAACTTTCAAGAATGGTGCTAAAGGCAGAGTTTTATTAGTAACACATACTTGTTGAGTACATATATATCTTTGTAAATGTATGTAAAAGAAATAGGAAACCTATTTTATTAGACTTTTATGGATGTGAAATTTTATACAATTTTGTATTTGATTTTTATATAGGCAGAAATACTCAGTGTCCTCAGTCACAGAAACATCATCCAGTTTTATGGAGTAATTCTTGAACCTCCCAACTATGGAATTGTCACAGGTAGGAACTCATTATTTGACTTCTTTTTTTCTCCAATTACCTAGCTTTAGATTCCTTAATATGCTAAAATGTTTAATATTAGGTTCAGTCATGAATTGTGTGCTACTGTCAGATGTCACTTTTGTTGCTATAAAGCATTAATAAAACTGATTATATCAATATAATTAAGAATGGTGTTTCCACTTCTACCCATGTTTAATTGTGCTAATTATATCTGCGTAAATGCTATTTAAATGCACTCGCAGCTGCAATACCAATATTTAAAGGTGTCGTTTAACTAAAATTTCATTTAATTAGTTGAAATGAGCGATGTTTTTTGTAACTCTGTGACCTTTTACAAATTAAGATTTCTTGAGCTATTCATGTTGTAATTCTTTGCAAGGCATTTTAATCCCTTTAGAGCATTCTTTCTTCAAGGTCTCTGATATGAGAACAATATTTTTTAGGTTTGGTCATCTGCATTGGTAATGACCTTGATCTAAATTATCATGTAATTTGGAGCAGCAGTTTATAACTGGTAAAAATATTCTTTACAAAAAGGAGCACATAGAAAATTTTGCCATATAAACATACAGAAAGACACTCATTTTAAATACTTAATACTCATATTTGTATAATCTAATGAGCAGTTTTAGATTGATAATAAGTATAATGTTCAATTTTACAATAATTATCATAGCAGTTATTCAATTAAAACAAACAAGAAAACCTTCAAAGATTAGCCCTGTCTTCTACTATAGAGAAGAACTTGGATTGTCTAAAATAACAACTAAACACCCTTGATAAAAAGGATTGCATTAGGTATTTTCTTACAAATGATCTCATCTAATACATAAAATAACTCTATGAGATAGGTAAAATAATCTCTATTTTATAAATCTGAAACAAAACTCTAACTTAAGTAACTTTCCTAAGGTCATAGACCTAGTAGTAGAACCGGAGTAATAGAAATTTCTCTGATTTTGTACAGAAGATGCTCTTCTTGCATGTGAGCTATGAGCATACTGGTTCTTAAACTCAAAGAGACATGGTAGCTGTTACTTCCATCTTCTGAAGGCAGGCATTTTAACATGCTTTTACTTTGATAAATAGCAAATAGAACTACTGAAGTTCTTACGTAGAGGATATTTTATCTTTAATTAACTATCTTTAGATATATTCCTAAAATGAGGTATGTATCAGCTTTTATCTTGAGCACATATATTTCCTGTTAACTTGAATACCCAAGAATGGGTTATATAATTAAGGTTTAAGCCATGTTTAACCTTTTAGGTCAGATTTCCAATTTAAAGTAAAACCCTGTCTCTGATCCTGTTACCATATTGCTCCTTATTTCCTAGTCCATTGTATTTACTTTTTACCGATTATGTATACCTTATAAATCTGAACCCAGTGTTCTGATCCTCACTTGTGGCTTAAGTTTTTCTTGTCTAGTAGATGAAAGTGTGGTACTCCAAAGAGATTAGAAACTGCTTCTCATTTTGTGCCCTTTATGTTTAATGTTTTTTGAGGGGAAGATTTTAGCTTTAATTAACTCAATGGACTATTCATGAAGTTTTCTAGTTTCTTGGTGAGGATGAAGAGTAGAAAAAGGGACTTAAGTCATGGTGCAAATCCTTTGTCCAAGAGTTTATTCTCGGTCCCAAGGAGGATGTGAAGCACATTCATTCTTAGGTAGCACATTCAACCTCGGTTTTCTCATCCAAAAGAGGGAGAAAGAATTCAAGTAGTTGGATGAGTGAGTTTGATTTTATTGTGTGTGTGTGTGTGTGTGTGTGTGTGTGTAGTCTATTTAGTCTATACTGAGCCATAAAAAAGAATGAAATCTTACCATTTGCAACAACAGTGTGTGTGTTGTAGTTTATTTAGTCTATACACACACACACACACACACACACACACACACACAGACTAGACAGTCCTTTATTTCATGCACCCTTCTACCATTCCTGGCTTATACCTATACCTACCCCAAATCTTTGGTTATCATTGATTAATTCTTTTCAGATATATTTTTATTTCCTTGTACAGTCAGTAAGTAAACTGTTAACATTAAATATTTCTGTAAAACAACACAAGTTTCGGAATTTGAGGTATTTGTAAATTGTATATTTGTAGCTCTTTTATTGACGTATGAGATTGATTAAGATATCTCTTGGGCAAGTTTTGATGTTTTAACTTATTAATTTGATAAGATTGTCTCTATTCTTAAAGATGCTAGTTTTAATTGTTTGTTTACAAGTGTCTACCAAAGAAGGATGTGAGTTTCTCTACCAACCTGCTGCAATTAGGATCAAGCCATGCTCCATGCATGAGTATCAATACATATGCCAACTGAGCCAAGTTTGGGAGATCATTTGGGTTGGGGATGATAGCACTTATCTTGGCTCTTGAAATGAACACATTGGATTTAACATACAATGATATCAAAGCATCAGTATGCTCAGAGAATGAAAATAAACTGTTTAAAGAATTAAAAGAAAGTATGAAAACAATGAATCAACCAAATGAGAATCTCATCAAATAGAAAATATTATTATTTTTTAAAAAGGACTCAATGGAAATTCTGGAGTTGAGAAAGACAATAATTGAAAAATTTTAAAAATCTCTAGAGTTGACTTAATAGCATATTTGATATACCAGGAAAAATAAATTAGTGAACTTAAAACTAGGTTAATAGAAATTATCCAGTCTGAAAAAGAAAAATGAACAGAAGCTCATAGATCTATGGGACCACATCAGGTATACCATTAATATATTATAGTGAAGAAGAGAAAAGAGGAGTATAAAAATAGAAAAATAGAAAAATATTTGAAGAAATAATGGCCAAAAAACTTCCTGAATTTGCTAAAATACATTCGACTGCATTCTTAAGAAGCTTAACGAACTCTCAGTAGAATAAAGGTAAAAGAACACACACCTAGACATGTCATAGTTAAAGTGTTGATAAAGACAAAGTATTCTTTAAAGTATCTTTAAAGTATCAAGAGAAAAACAACTTCTCATATATAAGGGAACAACAATATGATGAATGACTGGCTTTTCATCTACAACAATAGAGGCCAAAGGCAGTAGACATTTAAAGTGCTAAAAGAAAAAAGCTGTATCCAGCAAAATTATATTTTAAAAGTAAAAATAAAGACATTCTTGGAGAAAAGATAAGAAAATCAGTTGCTAATATTCCTGCCTTACAAGAAATAGTAAAGGACGTCCTTCAGGCTGAAAAAAATGACAACAGGTGGTAATTCAAATCCATGGGAAGACAAAGGGTACTGGAAATGAAAAACATACGGATTAATATAAAAGACTCCATAAATATATTTTTATTCTTTCTCTTAATATCTTTAAAAACATGACATTGTATAAAGCAATAATTATCCTGTTTGTTAATGATAATATATATATATAGATATATTACAGTAACAGCATAAGGGGTAAGAGAGGGAATGGAGCTAATTTGGAGGAAAGTTTCTATATTTTACTGTAATTAAGAGTATTAGTCTGAATTAGACTGTCGTAAATTAAGATACATTTTGTAATCCCTTGAGCCACTACTAAGAATAAGAAAGTCTACTCAAATATGGTAAAAAAAAAAAAAAAAAAAAAGGAAAGAAAAAAAACCCCAGATAATTAAAATAACAAATTAAAATTGTTAACCCAGAAGACAGCAGTGACAAAAGAATAGAAGACTGAGAAGAACAGGAGACGTGTAGAAAACCAGATGGCAAATATAAATCCAACTATATAAATAATTACATTACATGTGAATGGTCCAACATATTCAACTATATACTGTCTACAAGAGACACACCTTAGATTCAAAGGCACCAGTGGATTAAAGTAAGAGGATGGGAAAACATATACCATGCAAACAACAACCATGAGAGAACTGGAGTAACTATATTAATTTCAGACAAAATAGATTTAAGAAAAAGAATATACTAGTGAAATAGGGTGATTTCATAAAGATAAAAAGAGCAATATACCAGGAAGATATAGCAATTGTAAATGTATATACACCTAACAACAAGTCCTCAAAGTACATGAAGTGAAAACTTGACAGAATTTAAAGGAGGAATAGGCAATTCAACATTAAGTGGTTTTATTATTCCAAAATTGATAGACAAAAAAATCAGCAAGGCTATAGAAGATTTGACACTCTTAACCAACTCTAGCTAACTCACGTATATAGAATGCACCACCTGTTAATGAATGCATACATAATCTCTTCAAGTGCACATGGAACATTCTTCAGGATATATCATTAGTTAGGCCACAAAATAAATTTTATCACATCTAAAAGGATTGAAATAATGCAATCTTTTTCTCCACCCACAATGGAATTGTTAGAAATCAACACCAGGAAGAAATCTGGAAAATCTCTAAGTGTTTGGAAATTAAGCAACCAAAATGGATTAAAAGATATTTTGGACAGAGAAAAAATGAAAACATAACATATCAAAATTATATATAATGCAGATAGAGAGAAATTTATAGCTTTACACATCTATGTCAAAAAAGAAGAAAGTTCTGAAATTTATAATCTGAGCTTCAACCTTAAGAAATTACCAAAAGAATAACAAAGTAAACCCAAAGCAAGCCAAGGAAAGGAAATAAAGATTGGAGCAGAACTCAAAAAATAGAAAATGGCAAAATAACAGTAAATCAATGAAACTAAAAATTTGGTCCTTAAAAAGATCAATAAAACTGACAAACTTTTAGCTCTACTGACCAAGAAGAGAGAAGATACAATCAGCAAAATCAGAAATTAAAGAGAGGACAGCACTATGGCCCCTACAGAAGTTTAAAAGGATTGTAAGAGATGTTATGGCCAACTTTATGCCAACAGATTAAACAATTTAGATACAATGAGTGAATTCCTAAAAAGATACTGACTCAAGAAGAAACAAATGTGAATAGACCTATGACAAAAAAAAAAATTTTGAATTAGTAGTTTAAAATATTTCCATAATGAAAAGCACAGACCCAGATGATTTCACTGGTGAATTCTATCAATTGTTAATGGAAGAAAGAAGAAATAATGCCAATCCTTTCCATACTCTTTCAGAAAACAGAAGAGGAAGGAACACTTATAAACTCATTCTATAAGGCCAGTATTATCCTGCTATTAAAGCTAGACAGAAACAGTAAGAAAACTACAAACCATCACTCATCATGAACATAGTTACAAAATCTTTAACTACAACATTATTATTATTAGCAAACTGAATCAGCCACCCATAAAAAGGATTATACACTATGACATATGGAATTTATCTCAGAAATACAAAGTCGGTTTAACATCTGAAATTCATTAGTGTAAGGTACCATAATAGATAATGGAATAAAAGACAAAAGTCTTTTGGCATACAACACCTATTTATAATAAGAAATCAGAATACAGTAGGAATAGAAAGGACTTTTCTCAATCTGATCAATAGCATCTACAAAAACCTACAAGTAATAAAATAGTTAATAATGAAAATGTGAACACTTTTTTCTTAAGATTGGGAACAAGGCAATGAAGGTCCCCTTTTGCCACATCTGTTCAACATCGTACTGGAGACTCTAGCCAGGGCAACCAGGCAAAAAGAAGAAAATAAAAGGCATCCAGATTGGGAACAAAGAAGTAAAACTCTTATATGACATGATTCTATACATAGAAAATCTCAAGGAATCCGCAGAAATACTACTAAAACTAGTAAGCATATTTAGCAAGATCGAAAGGATCCAAGATCATTATACAAAATGAGTTGTATTTCTGTATATACTGGGAATGAACAGTCTAAAAGTGAAATTAAGAAACAATTCTATTCACAGTAGTATCAAAAAATGAAATAGCTGGGTATAAATTTAACAAAAGTGTAAGACTTGTACAGTGAAAAATACAAAACATTGCTGAGAGAAAATAGATATCTAAATAAATAGATCATGTGTTCATGGTTTGGAAAACTCAATATTATCAAGATGACAATTTTCCCTAAATTGATCTTTAAATTCAAAACAATTCCTATCTAAATTCCAGCAGACTTTTTCCTCACAAAATAACAAGTTGATCCTAAAATTCACATGGAAATACAAAAGACCTAGAATAACCAAACCAGTTTTAAGAAAGAACTGTTTGAGTACTTAGATGGCCTCATTTCAAAACTTTATTATAAATCTGTAGTAATGACATAGTGCATTATTGGTACAATGATAAGCTATTGATCATTGGAACAAAATTAAAAATTTAGGGAAAAAACCTTACACTGATCATCAGTTGATTTTCAACAAAGGTGCCAAGACAGTTTAATAGGTAAAGAATAGGCTTTTCAATAGTTGTGTTGGGATAATTAGAAATCCACGTGCAAAAAAAAAAAAAAAAAGATCTTAGACCCTGACCTCAAGCTATACACAAAGATAAACTCAAAATGGGCCAGAGACTTAAGTGCAAGAAGTAAAACTAAAACTCTTAGAAGAAATATAGAAAATCTTTATACCTTTGGGTTAGGCAAAGAGCTCTTGGATATGACACCAAAAGCACAACCCAGAAAAAGAAAAGTTGATAAATTTGACCTCATCATAATTAAGAATTTGTGCTCCTGAAACGATAAGAGAATAAAAAGATGGTTACAGATTGGAAGAAAATATTTGCAGATCATAAATCTGATAAATGACTTGTATCTAGAATAACTAAAGAACTCTTATAGCTCGATATTAATAAAATAGCCCAATTTTAAAAAGGACAAATGATTTAAATAGACATTTTGCTTGAGAATATATACAAGGGAGCAATAAGCACATAAAAAGATGCTTAAGTTCATTAGTCACTAAGAAAATGCAAATTAAAAATATGAGATACCACTAGAATTATACCCACTATAATGGCTTTTATTCAAAAATACAGACAGTACCAAGTGTTGATGAGAATATGGAAAAACTGAAACCCTCATATGTTGCTGGTAGTAATCAAAAATGGTATAGCCTCTTTAGAAAACAATTTGAGTTTCTTAAAAAGTTAAACATAAACTTACTATATGACCCAACAATTCCACTCCTAGAATCTACCCAGGAGAAATGAAAGGATATTTCTACACAAAGACATATACATGAATGTTCATAGCAGCATTTTAAAGAGTAGCTAAAAACTAGGAACAATCCAAATGTCAATTGGTGATGCAGAAACTAAATGTGGTAAATCCATACAATGGAATATTATTCAGTAGTAACAAGGAGTGAAGTGTTGATAAATGCTATAATATGAATGAACCTTATAAACATGTAAAGAAAAAGAAGTCAGACACAAAGGCCACATATTCCATTTATATGAAATATCTAGAAAAAGCTCAGTCGTAGAGAGAGAAAGCAGATAGAAGGGCTGGGGTTGAGAATGGAGGTTAACTGTAAATGAGCACAGGGAACTATTTGGGATGATGGAAAGTTTCTAAAATTGGGTTCTGGTGGTGATCGCTCAACTCTATAAATTTACTAAAAATCATCAAGTTGTACACTTATAGTGGGTGAATCTTATGGTACATAATTTTTAAAGCCATTTTTAAAGGAATTTTCTCTCTTGGCCTTTTGAGGGCTATTCTAAGCTCTGATGCAATAAGATTGATTTGTTTACATTGTCATATAAACTATCTGATATGTGTTTGATCTCATCTATTTTATAAAAATAACAGTTTTTAAGAAATACCTATGTACAAGCCTGCTTTTGTTTCTAATCCATTCTTCCGATACATCATTGTGTTTCTCAGTTCTGTGTAAATGGCTTTTGATTTTTTTCTTCAGCTGGAGTTTTACTATTCATTCTATTAGTTATCTCGTCTTTGACAGATTACTTTCCAGGGTAATATTAACTTTTAGAAACCACAACATGGAACAATTTTTATATACTTTTGATGTCTTTTATTAAGTTCTTTAATGCATCTTCCCAATGAAAATAAAAAGTTATTTATGAAATGTACCTTGGTTTTAATTATATGCTTATTTTTCTGTTAAAAATAGAATATGCTTCTCTGGGATCACTGTATGATTACATTAACAGTAACAGAAGTGAAGAGATGGACATGGATCACATTATGACCTGGGCCACTGATGTAGCCAAAGGTAAAAATGCATCGTGTATTCTCATAGAATCAGTGGGGAGCATTTTCTCATCCTGACATGGTGACTTAAGCCAGAAGATTTGTTATTCTGTGTCTTTAGGTGTTCTTTTTTCAGACCAAAAGTAGAAAGAATTCTGCAACTTACTGTACAGATAACATTTTAGGTCATTGCCTTTCCACTCCTGCCTTTCTTTTCTCTCTTTTCTTTATTTCTTCCCCTAAAACCAAATTCCAACAGAATCAGTGGCTCCACAGTAGCCATTTTTGCCACAGTTTGCACCATTGTCATTGACCAGCTTGCTTGATGCATTAAGTGGAAAGATCATAATTCTGTTGTTGTTCTTCAAGTCACTACTTAGATTCAGTATCCAGAAAATGTGATTTATTGTAGCATTAGTTCTACTCATTTTGTATACATAATAATATGCTAAAAATAGTAACCACTTGCAAAAAAAATTTATTTGTCCTGCCATGTAGAAGCAATTCAGATTTTATTTTATGTTTAATATAAACTTGGTAATCACCCTTGGAAATGAAATATTTTTAATACACAAAATCCCTAAACAAGATGGCTAGTTCTTTTTCCCTCATAAATTCCTGCAAACACTAATGCTTTCTAAAGCAGTTTAAATTCCATTTATTTTTATCTTTTTTTTTTTTTTTTTCATTTTCCAGTTTTATTTATAACTGTCAAAATTGCTTTGGAAACAACGTAGTCTAAATAATGAACACTGATAGTTATATTTGTATTCTAGTAACCCTTAGAAAGCAAGTGTGTCCACATTTTACCAGGGCGATTAACTCCTTTGTATTTTGCTACTCCAGACTCTACAAGCATCTCTTTGAAAAGCAAATAAATGGGTATTTAACACTCAATAAGGAGGGTAACTCCTACTTTGCTTTAGCTGGAAAGTCACACAGTGACTTCTAAAAGTAATAGTCTTTCCTTTGGGGAATTATCCTGTCTGTTTTAAGTTTTATCAACACCTGCCAAATTCTTCAAATAAGGAAAGTGAAAAAATTTTTTTAACGTTTCATGCTAAATGCTGCTGCTGTTGAATGATACTTCATTACCTTATAAGAATAATAAGCTCTGTGTTTAAGATGGTATACTTAAAGCTTTGGCCGTGTTAATTAACTTAATTGTGTACTCATGTATCAGGCATCTCAAATCAGCCTTAAAATTGCACATTCTTCAAGACATTTTCATGTGATATTATAGCCACTTCTTTGCATGTCAGTAGTACACAGGGACCACCTGTTTGTAAGCAAAATGATGTGCTATTATTGGGAACTGTATTGTGGAAATACATTTACAAATGTAAAAACACATACAAATAGTCCTTGACTTAAAGCACCTTACCTTACAGACATTTGCATTTAGGGTGCTCTGCCAATTACACTTATGTTATTACTTAATGACACTTAGAATGGATAGACAGCAAACAAAACAACTGACATCAGTCACTCTGGTTCCTGCTGTGCACACTACTTAAGCTTCCCTGGCCCCCAGTCTATAAACCTTGTTTCTCCTAGCACTTTCTACTGCATAATACTATCTAAGGGGCAAGTCCTTTGGGTCCAGATCAGCTCAGTCATTCCTGGGGTTTCTCAAGACTTCTGGCACTCTGTATTATGAGGACAAAGAAGAGAAAGAAAAGGAATAAGTAGCAAACTGGAACCAGAGGTAAAGGATAGGGATGGAAAGAATGGGAGTGGGCCATGGGACAGTGAGCAAAACTACAGAATAGTAAGATCATGTTTTTTTGTGGCTGGTGAATTGATCTGAAAGGTATGTTCTAATGTGTGTGGCCTCAGGTGAGTAGACTGAGGCAGAGAAGAGGCTTGTTTGTTTAAAGTTACAAGTAACACTTAGTATTTGAAATGGCCTATAAAAGGAAGAAGACATCAATGCTATCAGAGTGACTTTAATCCTCTCTGATAAAGCTATGTGTAGAATTGGAGAATAAATAGGAAGGCTTGAGTTTGGTTGATTCTGTTTCAAATTCAGCCATGATTTTGAACATTTCAGTTTGACCATGATTGAAGCCACTGTAGCAACAAAACGTTGAGAAATCAAAGAATGAATAGTTCATTTCAAATAAGAGTTCCTTCATGCATTTTGAAATAGACGCTGCTTAACATCACTGCTAAGAGAATATCTCCTCAGGGCCAAAAAGAGTCTCTTCTTTTTGAGTAGAGAGAGGAGTGGAGGGCAGACCAGCAAGTATATCTGAAAAGAAACGATTAACATAGATAAACTTGCAACCAGTCTCAAAATGGTCATCATTGATTCCAAATCTCTCTCAAATGATATCTGTCAAATCTTTTTTAGGAAACCCTAAATCTTAAAATTGGTAAGGGTATTTTTCGGTCACCTTAATTATTTGCAATAAAAATAAGGCAGAACTATAGATGGCTCTATAAAAACAAGTGGAATTTTATATGATTGTGATTACTACTGTGTTTGAGTACACTAAACATTCTATAAACGTATACTGTATATTATACACAAATAATTTATGGTACTTCTCAATGGTTGCTGTCATGAGAAAAGTGCCAATATTTAAAGTTATTGTACTTGAGTGTTGTTTTTTTTGGAATTCTTGCTCGTCACAAGTGTAGAAACTATTTAGCTCTACCTATAATAGTAATTAAACAGATTCTACCTTAAAAATAATTCAGGAATTTGGTTCTTAAAGCAAGAGAGAGGTGACTATGAAATTCAGTCACAAAAATTATTAAAAGTTACCCAAGTCGTAGCTATTGAATTTTCACATTTGTAATATGCAGAAATTCATATTAGATTTTCTTTATTCCAATTGTGTCCTGTATAAGATCATTTAAATTACTAATACTTTTCTTAAGTTGATTCTTTTCAAGAATATCTTTATATGGCAAGAGTTTAAATTTTTTTTATTTCTTTGTTCTTTCATGAATCTTCAGTATATAATAATCAGAAGAATAGAAAAATGATAAATTATTTTAAAAATTAACCTTTATAAAATCGAAAAAAAGAACCAAAGACTAGTTATTAAATTATGTTTAATGGATAATTCATTTTAAAAAAGAACCTGTCTGATTGGGGGCAGGGAGGCTATTTCTTTCAAAATTTAGAAAAGATAATTTGAGAAATAAAAGGAGAGGAAATTTTCAGTAGAAATTATTATTTTTCTTTATTCTAAGGGGGTAGACAATACATAAATACAAAAAAAGTCAAACACTAGGGAGGTAACTACGAAGTGTGTGTCTTTCACAGTATAATTTTTATTCCAAATAGTAAAACTATATATACATCCAATTTACTGAAGTAACTTGATTTACATTCTGAACATGTTGGAGAGAATTTTGGAATGCATTTAACTATTGATTATCTCAAAGATTTTTCCTTGTAAAAAGAATATAATATTTTGTGACTACTATATATTTTTCTATCTGAGAATTATAAAATTCTTTACCAACCACAACTAATGAATCCAACCAGTTCTCCTAACTCCGCCACCCCACTTTCACTCCCAGGGTCTTGTTGGAATGAGCACCGAGAAAGTAAACCAAGCTGCAGCTGGATAACTGCAGACATCCAAATGAAAGCTGGAAACCTTAGCAGAACTTAGTGATTTAGGAGGCAGTTGGTAGTGGAATACCTTAGTCATTGGAGCACTTCTTCCAATTGTAACTGTGCTATTTTTGTGCAGACTCCCGAAAATTAAGGTGTCCTTATTAGGCATTGTAAGAAGTTAACTTTGCCCACAATCAAATTCCAACTTCTAAGAGATTAAAGCACATAAATTTTCCTTAGCATATACATTTTCCCGAGGTAGACATATCTTGTCTCTATTTTACCAATCACGTAATAGAATATATGAATTTAGTTTCCGTTATTGAATTATTTGCGAAAATATGAAAGATAATACTGATGTTTAAAATAGAAGTGTAATACTGGTGAAGTGTTGAAAAATGACATTAATAGGCTTTTCTTCCTTCTTGTATAAAAAGGAATGCACTATTTACATATGGAGGCTCCTGTCAAGGTGATTCACAGAGATCTCAAATCAAGAAATGGTAATGTAGTCATGTTTTTATTTTACCTGTCTTATTACAAAATACATGCATCTGTATATGTAACTAAACATCATGCTTTCCATATCTTTTGCAGCCTGTTATTTTGACTCACTGCTGATACCATGGAAATCTTTCCACTGTTAATAAATATCAAAATTCTCTATATTATTGTAAGAGGCTACATAGTATTCCACTGTATGAATAGCACAGAGTGTGGACATTTGGGTTATTTACATTTTTTTCTATAATAAAAAGTGTTGAGTTCAGACACTTTTCAGCAAAAGTTTTCAACACATCCTTATTTATTTCTTTAGAATAATTTTCTAAAAGAGGTATTACTGGATCAAAGCACATAGTCTAGTCTCCTATTTTTAGATGGTTCTCTGTACTAGCAGTTTTGAGTTTTGTTCCTGTTACTTCTGAATTATTTGGTGTAAATTTTTCATGTCAGTCATATTACCTGGAGTAGTGCCCAAAAATGATCATCACATTTAGGACTTTGTAAATCAAAGCCTTTTTTCTTTCTTTCTTCTCTTCTGTACTTTCTAAAGTTTATTTATGACCCTGTATAATTCGGAGAGAGAGCATTTCAAAATGACTTGCAGGATTAGACATTATCTTCAAGTAGAGTGGTAATAATATTTCTTCCATTACCTCATTTGAAAGTTAACTGAGAAAGGCAGTGGGGTTATTTCGATAGCCAGCACTAGCTGAAGTAAACATCAGAGTTTGCTACTTAAAAAGAAAATCTTGCTATCAATTCAGTTACATGCTTTAACTATTTACATGCTTTCTAAGTTATTTTTCTAAGTACGGAGGAGAACTATTTTTAGTAAATCTTTAAATCACTGCAGTTAAAATGGATATGTGCTAATGGTGCAATCCTTAGAATAGGTAGGTTTGGTAAATGAAAGAAGAGGAGTAGGGAATCCACCAGCTGCCCTTGCTCATTCTCCACAACCGTGAGGTTTGTGGGGGTGGAGAAAGGGGAGTTATGGGCAGCTGCCATTCATAAGTAGTCCAGGTAGGATCACCAGCTCAACCTTGCCTGTCGGCTCTGGCTGATTGTTCTGTTCTTTTTCTATGTCATCACTTATCTTTTGGCTCATTTTAGACATAAGCTTCCTTGAGCTAAACACTTTCAACATATAGTTGGCTAACAGGAAGTTACTAGAAAATAATCTAGAATGTAGTAGGAAGTTTCAGAGTTTTATGACTTTGTAAATTTTCAGTTTATGCTCATAATTTCAACTTAAATAAGTTATTTGACTTCTCTGCTTTTAATCTGCTTTATCGATATATGCTAAATATCTCTCTAAAGAAGAATGATTAAATTATGGGCATATCCTCGTTGTCATTATGAAAACTAAATAACAATGAAAACTTGCCATTTTTAAAAATTATAATTTGTACAGTTACTTGGTGGGAAAACACATACACATTGAAACAATATAGACTTAACTTAGCGATTTTTTTCTGGAAAAGGAAATAACAAGACTCTTATTTTCCTATGTTATATATTTTTATAATCCTAGATTTTTATAATCCTAGATTTTCAAAATGAGCTCTTTTTAATCTTATAAAGAGAAAAAAGTAGTTGAGGCGGTTTTTTAAAATAACAATATGGTATTAACAATATTTATATTTTTATTTGAAAACATTTATAGCTTACATATAGTATCACATTTACCCTTAAGCTATTTCTATATATATTAGATCATGCAAACATTATTTTCCCCACTTATCAATGTCACTATAATAAGCATCGGTTATCTACCATGACAGGCCATGTGTGGCTAACAAAAGAAATGCCAGAAACAATTATTCAGAGTCTTTGTCCTCTCTTATTCTCTTCTTCTCTCATAAAAGCCCATCTGCATATTAACACTTCCAAATAGATCTCAACTTCACAACTGTATATCTGTCTGCTTATTGGATATGGCCACATAGGAATTTTGTATGACACCCTCAAATGTACTGTGTCCAAATAGATCTTTTCATCTTCTCTCTATTTCCTAAAAAAATCATTCCTGCATTCCCTTTCTCAAGGAGTAGCAACACCAATTGCCTAAGCCCAAAATTAGATAAAGAAGAATCATAGTTTGATTCCTAAACTCTTGTTCTAGCCATTATGCTGTATTGCCTCTTTATTTGATTTTATCCTGAGTCCTTCTCCTTCTCCCTCCATGTCCAATTATTCAAGCCCAGTTGATTCTGTCTCCTAAATGTTTCTTGGCTTCTGTCCTGTCCTTTGCCACCACCTGACTCTAGGCATCCTCATCTCTCTCTTGGACTATAACAACTGCATGCACAACGGTCTCGGTTTCATAACCACACAACAGTGGTCTCCTTGCCTCCAGTTCTGTCCTCTCCCCTTGCATATTTGACCATTCATTTCCTGCTAAAAATCATTCATTGGCTTTCATTTCTCACAAAGGTCCTTCCGAACCTGGCCCCTATCTCCCAAAGTTGCATGTCTTTTCCTCTGCTGACCTTTTGCAAGACTCTTCCTTCTGCCTAGCAAAGTTTTACTCCTCCAGCTCTCCCATTTCTGGTTAATTCCAGTTTGTTCTTTAGGTTTTGGTGTAAGCATCATTTCTTCCAGGAAACTTCCTCTGACCTCCTTAAACTTAAGATATCCCTGCTTTTTAGTTCCATAGCAATCTCTATGTCTCTTATCATGGAATCTATCCCACTTAATTTTAGATGTATGTTTTATTGTCTGGACCGTTAGACTGTAAGCTCCCTGAGAGCAGAGATAATGCCAGTCTTGCTCAACTTCCTCTTCCAGGACATAGAATATAGGATATGGCCTTGCTGATACGAGGTGCTCAGTAAAAATTTGTTAAGTGAATGAATATATGAATAAGTGAATGAATGAATATTGTCCCTGCCTTCAAGAAAATTGCTCTTCATTTTTTATTTTATTATTTTATTTTTTAGGTAAGGCAACCCTTGGTTGACCTCACAGATTGCAAGGACCTTTTTAGCTTACAATCCCTTTTTTAAATTTTTAAATTTTTTTTACACACACAACACCTGGTCTTCCTATGTGATCTGGTCTCCCATCCAACTACTAACCAGGCCAGACCCTGTTTAGCTTCTGAGATCAGATGGGTTAGGGCTTGTTCAGGGTGGCATGGCTGTAGACAAAAATTGCTCTTCAGTTGGGAGGAAAAAACATATGCCATGAAATTATAATGTGAATGATATCTTCAGTATTATATTGGCAGTTTAGTGTCAGAACCCAAGTACAAATTTGGCTCTCCTGACTACTACTAATCTATGCCTTTTTTACTGGATAGTGCTATATTGGATTTAAACAAATGTCTGGAACACCTTTTTAATCAGCACCTCATGAAATCAGTTTTTTTGTTTGTTTGTTTTAATGTCAGCTCCTTTTTTCAAAATCTTCAACACAGTAACTACTTTAATTTTTTTCTTCATAATGCCAAATAGAAGATAAAAATGGAAATTTCTGATTTTTTTCAGTATAACTCAAATTATTGTTAAAATTTATCTTTTTTTTTTTTTTTAGTTGTTATAGCTGCTGATGGGGTATTGAAGGTAGGACTTTAAATATTTTTAACAAAAATTTATAAATTTCAAATGCAGGTTTTTTGTGACTGTGTTTTTATCAGTCAATAAGTAGAAAGTTGACACTTTTTTCTCTTTCTTCAGATCTGTGATTTTGGTGCCTCTCGGTTTCACAACCATACAACACACATGTCCTTGGTTGGAACTTTCCCATGGATGGCTCCAGAAGTTATCCAAAGTCTCCCTGTGTCTGAAACTTGTGACACATATTCCTATGGTGTGGTGAGTTCATTTCTCATTTTTTGCTAAAGGAAATACAAAAAGCAAACAACCTACAGAAGAAGGACACAACAATTTAACAGTTTTAAGACAATGATACTGTTTCTGGTGGAATGCCTGGAGCAGTGACAACAGAGAGAACACTGTAATTACCAGAAAGAACGTTTACATTGATCACTTCTGTGCATCTGAATTATTTTGTCCTCTGTGATTAGAAACAAATGCCACTTCTAAGAAGCAAATTAGGTGGAACCTAAACTAGTATTGGGACTGATGCACTCTTATGAAGAGTGCTTTCCTAGGTGGACATATGATTGTAGAATATCTCTGTAAGTCAGCAGAAATGTAGATCATTTGGAACAGGACTTCATAGTCATCAGCTGCTCAAAAACCACCAATAGGTCTGACAAATGAGTTAATTAACGGGAACTTTTTGAATGTCAACTATTAAACTGATTAGATTGCTTCTGGACAGTACAGAAGAAAATGTGCTTAGCATTTAGCACATGGCCTGGCCCATGTCTGCTGCAAATCTTACAAAGCAGTAGTGACTATCTGAAACATGAATCTAAGGTATCATATAAGAATAACAATAGTGCAACATAGTTATAAGAATAGAATAATGGAAAGGGTGTGCTCAAGGAATAGAGACCACAGGAATAAATCAGTTAAGGAGCAGAAACTTCTGCAGGAGTTTTAAAATGGATCGTTCTTGAGGAATAACTTATATCTGAATTAGCAAAGAGAAAGAAGAGGTAGGGGGAATGGGAGAAGTAGTGAGGTGGGAGGGGAACATGGACAGATCAGTTCTCTGATGATAAAAGGCATTCTTTTGTTGCCCATTTTTGTGAGTAAGTTTTTATCCCTAAAAAATACTTATAAAAATCCAAAGTAATATTTGGAACTCCTTGTCTTCACATCTCATCTCCCAATCATACTGCCTTCTCTATTTATATTATTACTTCTTAAAAAGATATTTTCATAATAACAGGAAAAGAAGCAGATTAATTTTGGCCCAGATCAACATGCCTCTTGTTCCTCAATGACTTTATTTTCAACCGAAGGTGATAGCTGATAGCATAGGAGGAAACCAACATTGTCAGACCCACTTCTTTTACTATAGATTCATCAATCTCTAGATATTTACTGCTGGCTTCATTACTTAAGTTTTAGGCTTGTTTTAGTTGGCTCGCTTTTTCTAAATTATAATACACCTTATGTATACCAAATAAATTTAATATAATAGAGATGAATTTCATTGGCTACTGGAAAACATTATTTCAAGAATGAAATATAGGTTTTGGGCAAAAGGCTAAACTTTTGAAAGTTTGGAAGATAACAGTAGTATCAGGCTAAATATCTATTGTCTGTGTGTTTCTAAGAATGAAGGCTATAAACTATTATAGACAGTGACCAAATAATTCTCATTGAAAGAAGGGGATAAAAACCATAAGTTCCTGAAGAGACTAGATTCTAAAACTGGTCCCTAATGTCAAAAGTTACCATATTCCGATCATCCTACAAATCATCTGCTAGGGAGTCTGAAAATGGGGGAATTTGTTGTAATTTAAGATGTTTTATGATATTATTTTCTTTTATGAAGTTACATTCCTTCATTTTTAAGCAAAAATCTATTTGTTCTATCAGGCACTGTGCTAGATATCCACTTAGGGTAATTTAAATTGGACTTTGACTGCTCATTGGGACCAGTGGTGTCTCATTTTTCCTGTGAAACAGAGGCCAGCAAACTTTTTCTATAAAGGACCAGATAGTAAATATTTTAGACTTTGAGGGCCACTTACAGTCTCTATTACATGTTTTTTTTTTACGACCCTTTAAAAATGTTGAAACCACTCTGCATTCTGCAGCAGGCCATAGTTTGCAGACTCTCTTCTAGAACAAGAGGAATTGGAAGATAAGCAACATGGCTGAATAACAGTTTATAGTGATTCAACAAGAGACCACAGTTCTCACTCCTTTCTCCTGCATGCGTATATAAATATACAAACATATTTAGGTGGTTATAGTCTTTAAGTTATTTTGAACATTTATATGAAGAATTTTGAGACTCATTTGAGTACTCTACAAGTTCTTATACAGTGCTTTTACTTTTAAAATTCTCCCTAAGTTTTGGAATTTCCCAATCTCAGAAGTTTTTGACCCAAAAGACGCAACTATGAATTATGTATAGAGTGAACTTTTGGTTTCAATATTATTTCATTTATGAAAACAAACTTCACACTGCCTTCTTCTAAAACCTTACAGTTGCCAGGGACTTTGGTGTGAAATGCACCCACCTGCTTTTCCTTAGCTGAAGTAGAATCTTAGTTCCAGTAACCAAAACGAAATTCCTTTTCACGTGTAAACCATATAAGATGTTTAGAGGTGACGTCTATTTGTGGAGCTTAGGGTTTTTTTCTATACCTTTTAAAAATCCCTTTCAGTCATTCCACATTGACTCCTCATGTCAAACATAGTTTGAATCAATCTTCCTGAAGCTGCAGATGTTCAGTTTGTTTTTCTGAAAAGCTTTCCTCCAGGCGACACGCACTGCTTTTCAGTAGACAGGCCTGAACATTTCTCTTTGCGAATTAGGTTTTCTACTTGTTTACTGACCCTACCTTTGTTTTGTTTTGAGGGATTTAAAAAATGCTTAACACATCATTCTATCAAGTAATTTAACTTAATCTAGCAAACTCTACAGCCAGTCACTGAACATTTCCAACGGCGCTCTGTATTTACACACCAGATGTTGTTCTCCAGAACCTGTGTGCCTTGGTTACATGATTTGAATATCAATTTCACATTCATGTTTGAGGCTTCTTTTAACTGGTGAAAACAAAACTGCCTCTTCAGTGACTCTGTTTTAAAACAACTTCAACTATTTACTATATTGAACAGAGAAGTTTAGAGTGCTGGTCATCCTCATACCATAGTTGTATCAGCAGAATCCCATTGAGCAAAGTGCACACGTGCTAATTTAATTATAAATGAGAATTCCAGATTTTATTTGATTCTGACCCTTTCCCATTTTGTTCTAGATAAACACCATTAGCAAAAGAAAAAGTCTAAGGCATACTTTCCAGAGACTTTTTGTTTAAACAATCACATTAAAAAAAAAGAAGAAGAAATATTGCATGTTCAAAGTAGGTGTTTTCTGAAAGAGCAGGAGAGGACAGTTGTTAACGTGGGGGCATGTTAATTTTAGAAGTTTGCAGTCCATAAACTTTTAAAGTGATACCTAGCTAGGAAACCAGTCTGGTTATTTAGAATTTTCGATGTCTTTTCAAAAATAGGTGAGCACCCAGGACTCATTTGTCAGTAAAAGAAGTTGTTCTTTTTGGAAACCCACTCCTAAAAAAACACTATATTTTTGCTTTTTATTTTTTTTATTTTTTTCAGACTTGCTCTAAAAATTTAGCCTCTGATATTATCAAAGTCCCTAGCCCTCCCCAGCTTCTTATCCTTCATTGCTTCCTAACACATGGCAAGACTAACCAGCCTCGCACAGCCCTAAAATAAATGTGTTGCAAATTCCAGAAGTGGATCCTGGGATTCTTCCTTCTAAGCTGGTAAACTTTGCTAGACAGGCAATTGTTTCCCTCTCTGTTTTATAAGACAAGGAAATTTTCTCCCTCCTTATGATGACTTCTTTTGAAGGACCAAATCAGAGGAGTGTTTAGTATGTTACACACACACACACACACACACACACACACAAGATTTGAGGAAAGCAAAAATCATTGAAAGCATAAGACTTATGAGAACACAAGGCCTAGCCACCCTTAAAAACCAAAACTATTCCTAATGACGATGCAGAAAGGATTACCCTTAGAAGCTTCTCAGCCAAAACCAGGGTCGCAAATAGAGTTAAGAGAGAGCATCACTTGTCTGTGAGCCCTGTTCCAGCACTGGCCCAGCCCAGGTAATGGCTTTTCATTGTTTGTAAAAGAAAAGGCAGGAAAAGTACACAAGTCTTATCCAAATTTCTCTTCTGTACACTAAAAATAGAAAATTTCCTTGTGAGCAGTTTAAATGTGAGGACGTCTCAATATAAAATGAATTGGAAAATATTTTTAAGGTTGAAAGATCACAATATTTGGCCTGCATCTCTATAACTGATATTTTCAAGCATAGTTTAATGTATTTTTAGACCTCCAAATGACTTCCTCGACAACGTTACTTTTTTGTGCCAAATGTCATTGTGTTTAGTGTAGGAAAAGCTGTTGTCCTATCTCATACCACCTACTTTTTGATACATTCCTGAATCTGGTGAATTAATAATAGGAAATCATGAAACGTGCTCATCCTGGAATTACACTAAAGACCTCATTTGGGCTTCAGAACCCAGCACTTAATGACACCATCCATCCCTGACAGTTTTACATTCCTCACATGGCTCCCTCAGCTACAGTCAAGCTCTTCAGAGACTCAGAATGGGAATAAAATGAAACTGCCCTATTTTTCCAGAGTTAGAACTCTTGGAGAAATATAACTAGTACCTTATTCAATTTTGGACATTTTCCAACTGAATATTTTGGAATAAAGAATGACGTAAATCTTTTTCTGGTGCTATTCCCCAAGCTCTTGGTTTTGCATTTTCCCTCAAAAGACCCAGTCTGTCTTCGTGTGTGGGTGCACGCAGTGTATTGCGCATGCAGGTCAAACTCCAAAGGGGGGCCGGGAGGAGGGGAGCGTGTGAGGCTGTTCATCTGGATGTTTTGGGGCCTCGTGCATTTGATTTATTTGAGGCCGATCCCCTATTCCCATTCTCCTTAGGAATGCCAAATCCATTAATTTACTTGCTCTTCCTATCCCTTTCCCTCTCCAACCCCAACACTGGAGGAGAGGTAATTGCGACAAATTGAGGGGCTTCATTTCCTGCTCAGCACTCTCACTGGCCCCCTTCCCCCTCCCCTGTGAAGGCAGTATGTCAGGTGTGATTGCATACCTATTCTTGTTCTTCTTTTACTTACAGTGTTCGCTAGAATCATTCCTTTCTGGGATGCCCCTTACCTTTTCCTAATCACTTCTGTGACTCAAATAGAATTATTCAGTAGCTCTTCGAAAGAAGTACCTTAACACACTTGATTAAAAGCCCAAAGAGGCTTCAGTGAATATTTTTTCTCCTGCTTGAGCAGCATCTGCCAATTTCCCTGATTTTTGTGCTAATTATCTTCGTATTAGCCAGAATTCGTTTAACATGTTATGGTTTGAATAAGACTGAGCACCGATTGAGGAAATAGTAGATATAGAGTTGAAGGTGTATAGGGTTTACTTGAATAGAGTATATGTCCTCATTCTACATTCTTATTTAGAAAAGGTTCTCTGTTTTTGTTTTTAGAACAAGCGATAACTAAATCAAAACTGCTGAATTCATTTGCTTCTGCCATGGCTCCACACTAAAATATGGCATGTCACATTCTCTCTCAAACTTCAGCTTTTCATTCTCTAAAGTTACATGGGGTTAAGAGCTGATCTTAAGGGTGAGACAGCAAGTTCATGGTCTAGCTTTGCCACTGGATAACTGAGTGCCTTCGGGCAAGTTGACTTAACTTTCTTAAGCCTTAGTGTCCTCATCTATAAAATGAGGATGATATGTATACATCAGGATTGATATTAATCATGACAACATAATGTAAAGGGTTTAACAGAGTACTTGGGACATAATCTATTGATAAATGATAGTGGTTATTATTATTATTGATAAAATCATAATTGTTTTCATACTTCACAAAATATGGGTAAACTCAAATTTTGATGCTCATTTGTATAAATAGAGAAAGTAACTGAGTGTAAAAATCTCCATTACTCGGTGTTTAAAGAGAAAACAAAATCATGGGCTGTTTTCAGCCTTTCCAGAATCAGTTTGCTTTTTTGGGCATTCAGGTGCAGATTTATTAATCATACTGATCTCAAGGAGTGCAGAGAGATGGACACACACATAAATTCTCTGTCTCATACACACACACTCTCAGCCTATATATATGTATGTGAAGTGTTTACTACATTTTAAAATATAGTATAATAAATTGTGTTATTGGTAGATAAAAATGAATTCCTTAGGCTGACTCATTTTGAGGGATTTCTCTAAAACATAAAATCTAAATGTTATAATTTTGCAAGTACCTACCATTGTGGGGTAAGTGGTTTAGCCAGTGATTTAGATTCGGGGCCTGATTTTTTTTTTATGATGAGACCATTATTGAACCTTTAAAAATATGGGTGAATTTCCAGTTATTACAGAGAAATTTATCAGAGATTAAAGGTAGGAAGAGTTTTGACTAACAATATAAAATCTAATTCATGGGAATACATGACAATTCTAATAACTTGCAAAATAAAGTTAGGCCTACTGGTTTCATAAAATTTTAAGTCTGGCTCTAGATGCTCTAATTTCTAAACCAGAATTTTTTAATTAAAAAAAAGTATATAATATATGGAAGGAGTCCTATGCATGAATATATACGTTTTGCCCAAGTTTCTACAGATGGGGTTGGTTGTGTCTGGTAATTGGATACAGTTAAATATTAGATAAAGTTTCAGTAATATGCCAAAAATATAAAGTACAAGAATAAAAATTCCATTTTCTTTTTGTTCCAGGTTCTCTGGGAGATGCTAACAAGGGAGGTCCCCTTTAAAGGTTTGGAAGGATTACAAGTAGCTTGGCTTGTAGTAGAAAAAAACGAGGTAAGACTACGATTCTCCATTCAGGTACATAGATCAGAAAACAGTATTGGGGTTTTGCAAAAGACTTTTTCATCTTCTTCAAATTGAAAGTAAGTTCACGCTTATGGAAAGATTAGCAGTAGGAGCTAACACAAAGGGTCAAAGTGATGTTATTCCTCATGAATGGACCCTTTACATCTAATTGTTGCAGCTTCACGTCGTGATGCTGTAGATCAAAAATTGTACAAGTACTGTACTAGTTTCTCAGTCTCAATTGTAAAACCTAGGGGTTTGTTCTTAGTGATGAAAGAAGCCATTGCGTCCAAGGTAGGGGAACAGTTTAACTCCATCTCCTGCGTTTAGGACATCTTTTTTACTGGCCGGGAGTTGATATATCTGTAAGAGACCTTCAGCTACTTCAACTTACCTCTCCCAGCAGGAGTCACTATAGTACAAGAAACTGTCGCTTAGATGAGAATTTCAAAAAATAAAAGAAGAAAAAATAGTTTCAAAAAAGGGAAAAATTACAGTTTTGCCACCTACGTTGAACACTACATTGAAGATGAGCTCCTCACTGGAATTGGCGAGGCAGTGGCATAACTGTTCGCTTCTTCATGCAGAGCCTTTCCATTTCAAAAGAACTTCAGTGGCGTAAACACCGTTTGTGCTGTGTCCCCAGCCTCGCTTTTCTTCTTCCCACAAATTGAGGCTTTCAGTTAGTTGGACCTATGAGCCTACATCAGAGAACACGGTACATTCATATCAAAGAGAGCAACTACATTTTGAAAGGTTTAAAATTGTGACTGAAACGCACAGCCATGGAAATTTTTAGCATAAGGATGAAGCATCCAATATCAATGTATTATAAGAACTTAAGTCATGGAATGGAGGCATGCAGTTGTCTTTGCGCTGCAAAACAACTTCATTTCACAAAGCTTCTTCATTTCCAAACCTTACTCGTGCCCTCCCGCAAAGGATGAGAGTGCAACCTAAGGATAAAAAAAATTTGCAAAAGGTGATTATATAGAGAGTGTCCCTTTTTAATGCATTAAAAGAATTAGATTGATCTGCTCCCCATGTGAGCACCGGAACAAACTACATTAATCAAAAAGCTGCTATTGACTAAGAGAAACCGAGTTTCCATATTTTAGATCACATAATCCAGAGTTACCTTATTAATTTGTCCTCCTGAGCCATTGAGAATGGATGAAATGTTCATGATAGCTGAACTTGATGGGAGAGAGCTGCCAATTTAAAAACAACGAAAAGGGGTTATATTCAAGAATGTGTCCTACTCATTGTTTCACAAGAGCTGCTCTGTTTTAATTAAATGTGATAGGAATTCATGATGTGCTGTTAAATCAGACCTCATATATAGGATGACTGATATTTTCATGATAGGAGAACCCACTTGTTTCTGTTCTGTTTCTTTTGCCAGTGAGGTGATTAGATATTTGAGTCTCGGTTTACAAATGAGAGTGAAGAAAATTATTGACCTTCTGTTGACTTTGGAGCAGATCACTCAATGTAATTTTTCCCCTCTACATGGTTTCAAGATAAACTAGAAGAAAGCTTTTTAAAAAGCTAACTGGACCCTCCAAATATGTACAAGAGAGACTAATTAATATTTGTAAATAACATTTCATCTAAAGGACGGCAAAATGGGTATGAATCTGAAGCCCTTTCAAAACATTGGCGTATTCATCAAGGAATTTTAAAGCTGAAGAGAAAAATTAATTTAGAAACTTCCTTTGTGTAGCTGACTTGAGGGTTGGGAACCACCCATAAATAACCCTTAGAACCTCCTCAACATGTACGTGATCTCCCCCTTCCTCCCCAGGGATCCTGTACAGTAAAGTGCACTGTTTTATCTATGGTATGATATGATGACCTGCTAAAACTGATGGAGACTACTCAAATACCCCCCAAACTGTATTTATTAAATATAATAGTAAATTGAAAGAAACCCAGATGATGAAATAAATTTTCTCAACTTCCTAATGAAGTTAAGGAAAATTGGATATTACAAAGATATTTACTTGTCTATTCTCATTCTGCACAGTATTTATTTGTCAAAAATATGAAAATTAAGTTTAAAAGTAGTTTCCATTGTCATCATTCAAGAGGGTGTCTTCATTTCACCTCAGAAGCAGAGGTACTTATTTCTAAAATGAATTCTTCGACATAGCATTAAAGGAATTCCCAAGGATTTATTTCATTTCATAACAAAATTGAGAATTTGACTTAAATATGTTACAAATCACCTAAACTTCAATTTTTTTTTAAACAGGACTTATTTAAACAAAGAATGATGTGTTTAAACTTTCAGAGAGACATATCAAATGTGACTAGTGACCCTAGAATATACCTATATCCAAATATTAGGATTACCTTTTCTTTTTAATGTTATAGTCTGAAATAATGGGAGACTCACAGGAAGTTGCAAAAATATTACAAAGAATTTTGTGTACCCTTCACCCACCTTCCCCTGCTGGTGACATATAGGTATAGTACAATAGCGAAACTTGGAAATTAACATTGATACATTCATTACTCTTTTTCCTCCAATTACAGTTGACATTCAATATTATATTAGTTTCAGGTATACAGCATAGTGGTTAGACATTTATATAACTTACAAATTGATCCCCTCGTAAGTCTAGTACCCACACGGCAACATACATAGTTATTACATTATTATTGACTATATTCCCTATGCTGTACCGATATATTTTTCTTAACTAGACTGTAGACCTTACTTGGTTTCACCATTTAAGATTGCTTTTTGCATCTATAGGAAGAGCAATACATTCTAAAAATTATACCTGAAGGTCATTGCTTCTACAACCTTAATTATGAAATAAGGTCTTTAAATAATTTTTCCTAATATGAAATCCTATTAATACTAGATCCATAAAGCACTGTTAAACTTTACAAAGCAAACAACCCTTAGAGAAGGCATGAAATTTAGAGGGCATTACTAATAAATTTTTTAAATGTAACATATATATTTGCCTTTGTAATTTCCATAAATCTCAATTAGTAGTCATTTAGAATGTTCTGGCAGCATAATTTTTATATTTATAAATACTTAAATTCTCATATAAAATATGTTTCGTTCTAAGTAGCAAAACTACTATTTTTGATTAACATAGAAATCCTCAAAAAACTTAATTCATTGTTCTTGACTATACTTAAGATAATAAACTTATCTTAAATGATTTTTGCATCTTTCATAGAAAATGGTGCAAAAAAGAATATGGTCTTTAAAAATGTCATGCCTAATTTAGTTGGGAAATATTTTAATTTTAAATTTGAAACTTTTTATTTTTAATTATTTAAGTTTTAAGCAGTATTGCAAACCTAGTGCTAATAATCTGATTACTTCAGAATGTTTTAATGCATTAGGAATGCCCACAGTTATGTAATCGGGACTTAAGTATTTTGGATTTTGTTTTAAATACTTTTTAATGCACCAAAATAATCCATTACATAAAGTGTCTCAGTCTAGATTTGAGTCTAGATTTAACTGATAATTTGAATGTCATATACTTTAAAATAATTTTGTCTCCTTGAATATAATGCCTCAGATATGATATCTAAAAAGTTTGTCAGTAAGAAAATACAATAGAAATGCTCAACATTCATATTCATCCAGTTCACATTTTAGTTCTTAGAAAAAATGTTGAGATAAGTGGTGTTGAAAATATTACCCTTTATGAAAAGTTATTTTTCGTTACACATGGGGCACAGTCAGTTGCATAATTGCAATTGCTGTCTGTTTTTATTAGTTGCCACCCCCAACCATCTTATTTTTTTAAGGAAACACCTGATTTTTCTTTTGATCTTCATAAAAAAGTTTCCAGTTCACATTACATTAAAATAATAATACAGTTGATTACATTGTGCTCTATTCTACAAAATCACAAGGCTCAAAGTTTAAAAAATGCTTAGCATAACCTCTAACTTAGGGCTGTTTTTTTTTTTTTTTTTTTACTTTGTCCTTTTTTATTTTAAGGCTATCTGTAATTCCAAATATAGTGTTTTCTTGCCAAGGCAACTATTTTTCTAGTTTTACAGATGGCCTCCCCTAAATCCAACTAAATTCAGTTTTAAGTTTTTTATTTGCAAAACTTCTTTGGCAAACAATACCATGGAGTAAATCTCAGTACTTCTTAGCACAGTAGTTCTCAGCTCCATCACACCCAGTGCTCTTTTTTATAACTGCTGTGTTAACGCCCCCTCTACCTCCTGAAATGAAATCCAGAGGTAATATAACCTACCTACACACATTGTATTTAATATCAATAATAATGCTCCAACTGTAATATAAAGAAGAAATTAATGGAATTATGTATTGCAGTGTGTAAATGCTTAGGCATGACCACAGTGGAAGAGATCATGGAGCAGTTTTTGATACTTGCACCTATGCAGCTACAAATGCAGAGTAGAGCTGAGTTAATGACTCCAGTACCATGAGCAACGCTGTTGTTGGTGACATTTTCCAAAAACTTTGGTTAGGTTACATATAATGCAAAACTCAATCTACCCTTGATTTATTTTATTTGGTAATAGCATTCTTAGAAAGTTAAGTACGTTTAAAAAGTGTTCAAAACATATTTTGTGTTTATTTGCAAGTCAGAGTTAGAGTCCAGGCTCAGAAAGCTGTAAACCTCACTGTTCACTTGTTTTACTTATGTGTATGCACATGGGACATTCGAAATTTGATGGAATGTAGGAGAATCCTTAATCATGTAGGATTTTATGGCATGTTGAAGGATGGCAAGTATTCATGACCTGTTCCAGGTGCAGCCCTCTAGTCTTAAAACGACCAGAAGAATACCTCCCTAGATTTCTAAAGGAACCACTACAATGTTAGAACAGGACTGATGCTCATTATAATCTTTGTTGTATCAGGTCCTACATTTTATGGGTTTGACTAAAACTAAGTCCTAATGAGTCATACACTCAGAATGTCTTATTTACCAATGAGAAAATGCACTCTTCTTTAAAATTATCTCGGAGGATCGGGCCTGGTTAGTACTTGGACGGGAGACCTCCTAGGAAGACCAGGTGCTGTAGGCATAAAAAAATTTTAAAAATAAGGGATTGTAAGCAGACAAGGTCCTTGCAATCTGTGAGGTCAAACAAGGGTTGCCGTGCCTTAAAAAATAAATAAATAAAATAAAATAATCTTGGGATTGTCTGTGCTGAAGATGTTTTCAGAGTTGTACATCTACTGCCAAAGCTGAACTGGTTTCCAAGTTACCCGGCCTGTTTGCATATTTCATAGTTGCCTATAAAAGTGCAGTGATAGATTTGCTGTTTTAGGTTTAGTATTTAAGTTCAAACTTGCCCCTCTCCTGCTGTAGTTTCTTTTAAACTTGATTCTACATTTATAGCATTAGCTGTGCTGACTCTGATCCTCTTTAGGGGAAAAGTGTAAGCGTCTTCAGAGATTAGATACGAATCTAAACATAAATTCTCATCTGCCATATATTAAAAAGTGTAAAATTTAAATTTAATGTCTTGTTCATGCTCTTAAACTAACTTTTTTATGACCCTTCAATTAGTATTTGCTCTTTTTAATGAGCGTTTTATTTTGTTTTGTTTTTACTTTCTCTGTTGTAGAGATTAACCATTCCAAGCAGTTGCCCTAGAAGTTTTGCTGAACTGTTACATCAGTGTTGGGAAGCTGATGCCAAGGTATATATATATATTTTGTTGTTGTTGTTGTTGTTGCTGTTGTCATTGTCATTGTTTGTTCAGAATTCTGAAATTTCATTTGTTTGGCTTTGAGGTTTTTTTACCACCTTCCCCCGCGCTCCCCGCCCCCAGCTTTTTTTAGACAGCCAGGAATATTTACACTGGTAGGTTCAGTGTGGGGATGAGGCTCAGACTTCGAGTTTTCACAATGGAGTAATAAAATCCGTTACAAAGCAAAGCTGGACTGCAGTTCTTGCTCCCCAAACTGATTGTAAGGCTTTTTGTTCACATCTGCCTATCTTGATCCTGGAAGCTCATTGTTGGCTCTTTCTGACAGCACTCTGGCATTCTTGACTCAATAAAGAGAAATTTGTTCCTTTCTTTTTAATCTTTAATAATAACTATTGCACCTTCCTGTTATAAAGATGGCTAACACACAGTGCTTATTATATGTCAGGCATTGTTCTAAGTACTTTATGTCTATTAGCTTACTTATTCCTCACAATATCTCTGTGAAATATAGGTACTGTTATTATCCCCATTTTATAGATGAAGAACCAAGGCACACAGCAGTTAAGTAATGAGCTCAAGGCCACACAGCTAGTAAGTGGTGGGCCTGGACATGAACCCAAGTCCTTGCTGTTGACCACTACACTGTATTGCCTTTCTAACCAAACACCAGGCAAGAGTAGCACTTACAGAGAATCTTAATACGTACTTCCTGCCCAGTTTCAGTGATGTTTTTTAGGCTATCACAATAGAGTTGGAGAAATTCCAAAATTTAGACTTTCATGTGGTTATCACATTTAAGCATGAATGGTCCATTTCCTTTCTTTGCAAAGATCATTTTAAAAGTCCCTCACATACATAAGGAAATATTTGTAGATAAAATGATAGGCTAGTCTTGGATTTGCTTCAAAATAAAGTGAAGAAGATGAATGATGGTATAGGTGAAATAAGATTTATCATGATAATTTTTGAAACTGAGCGATAGGTACATAGAGGTTCATTGTGTTATTTTCTCTACCATTGCGTTTGAAATTTTCCATAATAAAAAGAAGAAATAAAAAAGATTCTCACAGATTAAACCCTACAATAAAAGTGAAATATACTCAAGAAAGGAATTAAAGTTTCATAGTTCCAATTCATCCAGTTTTTCATGGAATAGATATATTGCAAACTAACCTTTTAAATAAAGATCTAAAAAGAAAATCTTAAGAATGGAATTTCTTCCTTAATTTAAACCCAGTTTCAGTCTGACCCTCAAGAAGAATGAGTGATAATATATGCCATGTTCTTCCACATATTTCTCTGGTGGGGATAACTCATAAACAATTGGTGAGTATGGGAATTGTGTTAGTGTAACTTAGAATTCCCAGCGAGTCATATGTGAAGTTTCCCAGCACACTGATCTGCACTACAAAGTGAGAACAGCTAAACCTCAGGTACAGCAGTGTGGCCAGTGGTGCAGCAAGCGACACGGAGCTATAAGGCCCTCTCACCCAACGTGCTACCTGTTGGCTGGGCTGCCCAGGGCTTTGTCCTGTTAGGGTTTGTTGCCTTTCCTCTCATAACCAGCAGCCTCAATCTTTGCTTTCATTTCTATACATTAAACTGCCTTAACCCTTTTTTAGACTTCTATATTAGTATTTTTTTTTTAATTAAAGAATTTAACATATTTTTTAACTGTTAGTATTTCTGTTTAGGACAGCTGTTGTTTTTATTAGTATGCTGTGACAAAGTTGCATAGGTTTTGAATGGTCAGCCCTGCCCCTGTTTAGGCCCTATTATTTTAGAGTGTAATTTTGCAGAGTATGGGAATTTTTAAGCAGTAAGAGAAATGCCTGCACTTTGCAACTAATCCAGTAGAAACTATAAGTGGCTATTTGCAAGCATGCTCTAGAACAGTTATTTTATACTGTTAAAATGGTGTCATAGTACCCTGCCCTTTTCATATTCTTTCTACCAGTTATATGTCCATTGTGGCACATACAATCATTTTGTCAGTATTTTCCTCTCTGACATTTAAGCAGAAATTTCACCTGAAATTATTTGCATTGAATTAGATTAGTGCAACTCGATCTCTATAATTGTAATTATATTTCAATATGCAAAGCAGGTTTTGAATTTCTTAATCAGAAACTCTGTACTACAGTAATTAAAATTGTAAGAATATACATTTATGGTGCATTAATTAAATGACAGTATAAACAGCTAACACAATAAGGACATTAGGCCCAGTGTTGGTGCCGTGAAGTCAGCATGTCTTTAACATGTAGTAAGCTGACCCTTCTTTAGGACCATAGTAATCTTGTGTTCTAGCTATGTGAAGTATAAAGTTTGAGTTCTGTGTCCTAAATTTATGACATTTTATTCTGATAAAACCAATCTGTGGCCCCTGTGTTCGATCTGATTATACACCCAGCTGAGGTCCAGTTTCTTTCGTTGCTGATCTCTAGACGCAGCTTCCACACCTTCATTCCCTGAACGTGCTCTTCCTTCTTTTCTTCCCTGACTACTTTATCATCAAGCTTCCCTGGTCATTCTGTTTAACCCCAGCCCATAATTAGTGTTCCTTTTCCTAAACCATAATCTAAGCTTGTGCCTTACCTTGTACTGTTGTTGTATTTTTTTAAATATCTTTTCTCTATAAATGGATTCACAGGCTCTAAAAGGGAACAGAGCTAGTTTTTCTGTGTGTTTCCATATAGCACTTACATAAATTGAATAAGTAGATGCCCAAAGTTTATTTCCTGAGAGGTACATTTTAGTTCTCTGGCTATAAAGATGTAGCAGTTCAACCAGAAGTTGGTGCCAGTCCTGTGCCCGTATGTAGAGTTATGATTTTTTTAAATATTTTGGGGTTTTTTTTTTCAGTCCTTAAACTTTAGAGTATTACCACACAGATTAAAATATTTACCTCAGACCTATAAAAACACATTCTTTTGCAATGAAGAAGGTGAAATGTATACAAGAGAAAGCTGGTATTAGGTAAATGCCAGGTCATTTCATTGGTTTGCCCCAGGTGCTCAAAATATTTTATTGAAGAAAAGAAGGAAGTAAAGGTAGGTATTGGTTCAAGTTCTAAAGTGACATTTGTAAATAAGAAAAAAATAACAGTTAAAGCCCTGAGTTTGATAGGAAGTACTATCTTACTCTCGTGTGATAAAACATTTCGAAGGATTTAGGTGCCTAGTCCCTGGTTCTGTAACTTGCTTCCCATGTGATGCTGGGAAATTCATACTTTCCTGAGACTGATTTTCCTTATCCATAAATGAAGATAACAACTAAAGAAACACTGTTTGCAGATGTTCAATAAATGGTCCTAGTTAGGACTTTTTAAGTAAGCAAAGCCTACATAATACCTAAAAGGAAACTAAGTCCTTTCAGATGAACTTATATAAGACCCTAGTCCAAATGTTGTATTCTGTAACCAGAATACTCATAGAATAGTACCACAAAATTCTGTACTGTTATTACTTTATAAATGTTCACTTGGATAAATTCCATCTGAGAGCATTTTCTAGTGGTCAAATCATGATTTTTCTAGGGATATTTGTCATCCAGTTACAAAAGAATTTTACATTATTTCAAGAATGATTAAATAGAGGAAAAAAATTAGTCTTTAAAAATTCATTAGCTCCTCCTGCTGCTTTTTCATGCAAAATGAAAATCTTATATTTGTTATATAATTAGTTCTTGTGCAAATAATTGTAACATTTTTCCTTTTGCAACCTGACACATAGCAGGAGAAATTAAAGTGAACATGAAGTCAAAAAAAGACAAACAGAATATTTTTCAAATTTCCTACTTAAAGCATTTTCCTTTTTGCTTATTAGAAGGTTGAGTGCACATCAGTGACATTTTGCTACTTATGCCCTCCTCTTTGAAAAAAGAACATGCACACATACACACAGATACGTGCACACACACACACACACACACACACACACACACACCCTTAAAAGAGTACAGTAGTGGCAGAACTCAGAATAAATATCTGTTTTATATTCCTGAGAAATAGAAAAAATGCCTTTCTTAATGTAGGAAACGCTCAAGTCCTGAGAGCAAGCCACCTCAACGTTGTTCCTTCTTGTTTTTGTGCTCCTAAATTAAAATGCATGTTTTAATTGCTCCAACTGTAATTTGTTCAGAAATGGTATAATTATGTGGCATGATGAAGAGAGAATGTGCATCACCCTTTTATTATCTTTCTCCATTTTTGTTTTAACCTTTTGTCTCAACCTTGACTAGAGTCTAAAGAGATAGACTAGTGTAGTTACTTCTAGCTAAAGAAATACACCTAACCACTGCTTTTTCAATTTCTAGTGAATAGTACGTTAACGTTTCCTAGCAGCAAAGCTAGTTATAATGTGGAATAAACATTGAGAACAATGACTTTAAAATTGAGGAATTTTTCTGAGGAACTAGTTTAGGAAATTTTGTCAGTTCTGATAGATTGTTGAGTAGATTTTCCCCCAACAATTTATTACAAAATTTTCAAACATATGGAAAAGTTGAAAGAATTTTACAGTGATCACTGGCCTACCTACCATCTAGACTCAACTTTTACATGCTTGCTTTATCACAAAGATTTTTAAATTAAAGGGCTTAACTTTTGCCTTTTAGAAGTCCTTAATCATACCCAAAAGAGAGAATTAGTACTTTCTTTACCTGGAGAAAAACTAATTATTCCAGCTTTAGGCCACATGATAGAAAAATGATATCTGAGTCTGTTCTTATGAATAATTGATTGAAAATAAGGAAAACAGTTCCCTAAACCTGAGTGGTTTGGTGGTTATAAAATAATTAAATCAGGACATCACATCATATTTTATTTTGTTATAATGAGTTAAACTTATTACTAAGCTTGTGGATTTTCTCTTAAAGATCTACTTTCTTAATTCCCAACAAGTGATTATTTTCTCTTCTTCAGAAACGGCCATCTTTCAAGCAAATCATTTCAATTCTGGAGTCCATGTCAAACGACGCTAACCTTCCTGACCAGTGTAACTCATTCCTGCACAACAAGGCAGAGTGGAGGTAGGTAGGCCTCGTACAGTAGTCATATCCTCTGGCTTTAAAGGACCAAGACTAGCTTCAGTAAAGACGAGAACCAGAAAACTTGATGACAATGCTGATTTCTAAGTGCAGCTTAGAAATTAAGGCTTTTACTTTTATTTTGTTTTTTGGGTTAAAAATTTTTAGAGCTCTAGTAAGTCCTCCATTTCATGTGTATGCAAAAAAGAGTATAAGCTCATTGCCTTATCATATGTGTATTTGGAAAGACTATTGAATTCGTATCTTCTGAGACAAAAGACAGTTACCAGACATTTCTCTGTGTACATTCTGTTAGGAAGCTTTGGCCTCTGTCCAGTGAGAAATAAAAATACTGTTTGCCTGAATATTTGCAGAGCACTGTATCTGTTGGTGGAGAGGGTAAGGGAGACTATAAAAACATTTTTAAAGGGAAACTTTTGATGTTATAAATCCTATTAAATTTTGTCATGTGTAAAACAAATTTAGTAATGAGAAAATTGTATTGTGCGAGTGGAAGAACTAAGCCTGGGATGAGACATTTGAGCCAGGTCACATGATGCACGAATATAAATAGCATGTTTGGGAGCTGACATTATTCCTCCCTGACTCAGCAGAGATTTAAGTAACTACATCTCTCTGTTCCTGAGAGCTATGGCGGTACTGTGACGCCTTACGCCACCTGCTGATGCCAAATGAATACTGCATGCACTTTGAAAATGATGGAATTTGTTTACTCCTGTTATTAAACATGTCTTTGGGCTTTATGTTTGGTTGGTATTTTACAATAACCTTATTTATTTGTGTTCTTTTGAAATCTCTGTCAAAGGCCAGCGAGTTGAATGAATTTTTATTTATGGATACAAAAGTAAAACTACTCTAGTCTAGGTATGAGGGACTTTGTTCTGGGCTGAAATAATTATCAAAACAAAACTTGTAAGTAATACTTGTCTCATACAGTAAGAGTTCATTACAAATCTAATCAGATCGCTCCCTTTTAAATCCATATAATGGGTTCCTGTTACTCTAGAACAAAGGTCAAAATACTTAACAAGATTCACGAGACTCACTGTACTCTGGCCTCAGCAGCCTCATCTTAAGAGCATTATTCTGTCCTTTAGTTATGGCTCTGAGTCCCTCAACAGATTCATATTGCTTCCTCATTCAAAATTCTTACAAAATTTAGTTTCTTCTGTTTAAAACTCATTCCTGTTTCAAACACCACCCCTGAGCCCACCCCTAACGTGGCTCCTATTCATTATTCAGAGAGCAGCTGAAATAACATGTCTTCTAGGAAGTGTTTCCTGGCTTCAGACTAGATGAGGTTCCACTCTATGTGCTTGGAGGGTGTCTCCTTCATAGCTCATTACTACTATTGGAATTAATAAGTAATTCTGCCATTTATTTAATATGCGTCTCACTGACTAAAATGTAAGAGGGTCAGATAATCTCTTTTGTTCACTACTGTACCTACAGCATCTAGAACGTGCCTTGAACATAGTCATTGCTCAATAAATATGTGAGAAAGGGAATGCCACAGTAGTAATAATATAAAGAGACAATATGGTGTTACATAGGAGAATGTAAATACGTAAGTTAATTTGTTTGCCATGACAAACGTTTTCTTATATTCGTTCATTCAGATGTTCATTAAACTTCTGGTAGGACACGGTGCCCTCTTAGGTATCAGGGTTTGGTGATGAGCAGAACAGTCCCAACACACACGAAGTGTCCAGTATTAAATTACTAAATATAAATGTACAAATAGTTATTTCATTTCTATTTTGAGAAGTATTATGTCAGTGAAGTACTGGACATCTGAGAATATATAACCATGAAATCTAATCTTGTCTGAGGATATAATTAAAGGATTCCTTGAGGAAATGTTGTTTGATCTGTTACTCACAGGATTTGTAGGATTTTAATACCATTATTAGAGGTAGGGAGTCTTTTAAAGTATGTAAATAAAATCAGAAAACAGGGAAAGTTTAATTTTCTATATAAAAATACATTTTGAGAAAGGTAGTATTGGCCAAAAGTAATATCCTTCAAAATAAATTTCCAGAACAAGAACCATACTGTTACAACTTTTTTTTCCTGAGTGATAGATCAGCATTTCTAATAGTTTTTATTTCAGGATTCTATTAAACTCTGAAAAATTATGGAAGACTCCAAAGAGCTTTTGTTTAAATAAGTAACATCTGTCAATAGTTATCGCATTCAAAATTAGAACTGAGAAAAATGTAAATATGTCTTTATTGATTCATTTAAAACATAATAAATCCTGCTTCTACATTCAGCCTATGGCACTATCACATGACCTGAAGCCTCTGGAAAAGTCCATACACTTATGAGAGAATGAGAGTAGAAAAGGCAAATCTATAACCTCTCGAATCCTTTGAAAAGCTCATGGGTTCCCAGACTGCACTGTGAAAACCATCACGATAGACAAACAGTTAGTCATTAAAATAACATTTTAATTAAAATATACTAAAAGACGTGAAAAAGCATTTCACAAAAGGAGAAACCGAATGGCCAAGAAACATGAAATATGTTCAGCTTCATTTAGCAATCAAATAAATATAAGAGAACATAATTCATTTATCAGATCAGCAAAAATTTATATTATGAAAATCTCTGGTGTTGTAAACATTCTCATAGTTTGCTGTGGGAAAATACTACCTTTCTAAAAATGTATTCTAAAGAAATAAATCAGAAGATTGTGCAAGAATGTAAGGATACCTGTTTATCATTTATCACAGTATCATTAGAATTATAAAGCTGGAAATGGCATAAAGTTCATTAAAAGGAGACTTATTTTTGTTTTTATTTTTTGTGTTTTTCATGGTTTTTAAAAATTATATCTCTATTTACAAAATAGTATGGAGCCATTCATGATAATATAGACCTGATCAATTATTTTGAAATACAGGCTACAGTCCAGTATGTTTAGAATGATTTCATTTTTTGTAATTTTCTGTATAAGTATGTGCACATTGAGACAGATATCAAAAGTTCAGTGTTATCATTGGGTAATAAGATTATGGAAAAGCATTTTTTATTTATATATCTTTATTTTGCGCAGTAAGTTGAATAATCAATTTAATTTTTTAATGTTTTAAGGTGAAAAGATGAGGGAAATAAAATGATAAAACTCATACATTAGTAAAAGGTGAATAGTTGCCTGGGGGCTGCCTCATTGGCTCTCTTTCAGGAACTAGTCAATCCTGAGAGCTGAAAGAGTTTAGATCTTTAAAGCTTGAACCAGTAAACCTGTTTGAGAAGCAGCAGAGCTGTTTTAACTGAACTTGGCCATTGGTTAAAAACATGGGGAATGATAATAACATTAATTAGAATAACAATAAACACAGCTGGCATGTATTACATTTTTACCAGAGAGTTATACTTTATTTAGATTATTTTTTTTAATCCACATAGCATCCCTGACAAATTACTAATGCACAAACCGAGGCCCATAGGGTGGGAGGTGGGTAACCTGCCCCAGATCACGTCATATGAGGCAGAATGCAGGTGGTCTTATCCTACAGGCCTGCAGTGGCACACACATTATGCAGTGCTCTTCCTGAACTTGTGGCCAGTGTCATGCCATCTACTTATTAGCATGCAGCATTCACTTGACTAGGTTCCTTTTTAGCAAAGAGAGCTGTTACAGGGCATGATCGTTTTAGGTTATGATTAAGTTAAAAACAATTATCTCACTCAATACACTAAGTGCTGAAAAGAATGAAATGTTTGTCAGATCATCTGGATATTTCAAAAGACACATTCAGACCACTCCTTTCTCCCTGACTATGTCTGGTGTCTACAACCACGTGATTATTGTCCAAAGCATGTGTTATCAATTAAAGTCACAGCGAAGTTGGATTCCAGACCTGCTCTGGTGTTTCTGGCAAATGCTTGTTTTCTGGTAGAGTTTCCTCTATACAAAGACCAGATGGAACATCTAATTTTAGAAAATTAAATGATTATTCTGGAAATTCTTTTTAAAACTAGGTTATTAAAAACCACCTAAACGAGGTTCTTTCCTTTGACCTAATAAATGATAGGGAAGAGATTTAGGGTTAGACATTTCCTCATTCATCACATCTTCAGCTTATTTATCCCCTATTGACTTATTAGCGATAATGACAATGAACATTAAGAACAGAAAATAATGTGTCGTCCCGTTTCAGTTTCCATTACCCCATGTGATTGTCTACAGACCTGCGGTAATCTGCACTGAGTGAGCTGCGTGGCACTGTGGTGCAGCATTCAGAGCTATGTCTCTTGGCAAAACACTTTGTTGATTATGTTCTTGGTGATCAAAATACTCTCACTGTGGCATGCCTTCTTAAAAACAAAACACAGATCAAAAAAGTCTTTGCCATTTGGATATTAGCACAAATCATTTAATACATAACACTAAATTTAATATACACGTTATATATGTATCATGTAATATGTATAAAATAAAGCTGTTTTTACAAATTGACTTTTCTTTCTAAGTTTCTGTCTAATTAAAGAAGATAATTACAGTCCATTGGCTGTTTTGGGCATAGGGAAAATTGACACTAGTTGAAGTCAACCTTGGTTAGATTTGGTTTAACAGTAAAACCAAAATTTTCATCAATTAAAACACTTAAACTATATTTTTAGAACAGGAAGTTTATATAAAGGCATCAATAGATGCATTCGATGTAAAACAATGCATCACCAAATGGAATAGCAAGGGGAGCAGCTGTCTTTATGTTGCCCTGAGATTTGGGTTACTCTTTTATGGCATATCACCTTAAACATGCCTGTCAGGTCCTGGGGTGTCTGCAGGAGCAGTGTTGGAAAACTAGGCCTGACGAGACAGACTGAGGAAGAATATTTACTCAGTGAGTGTTTGTTTTCCTGTGTCCCAGCTTTCAGTTTACCTTGTTGATCTGTTTTCCAGAAGGGCTCAGAATCACATTGGGCTCCCAGAGCTGGAACTTGAGATGAATCCTTGGCTTAAATTACAAGTGAAATTGAATGTGTTGGCCATTTACCCTGATCAAAAAGAACATCAGTGAGATCGGTCTTGTGGCAGGAGAGTTGGGACTGGCTTGGCAGAAGCACTGCATAGACAGCAACCCAGGCCACTGCCATCTCGCCACCAACTATGCCCAGCTCTGCCGCCTCCTTTTATCACCCTTTTACCCTCTTATTTACTGAAGGTGGCTCATTTTTTCTATCTTATTTTGTTACAGAAGTTTAACCTAAGGTTTTCCACATCGATTTTTTTCCCTTGGTCCTCCATTTGAAAAATAAACACAAATTTATTTATGAATGAACATAACATTTATGTCTGAAATATCAGGGATAAAATTTGGATTTTATGAGTGTCATAATTCTGAAAGATTGCTGATTTAGTGGCTTTTTTTAGGGACTATAGTGTGACTTTACTGTAATTTTTTATAATTTTCAAATGGCACCAATAAAAGGTGCCATTTGACAGTAGATACTTTTATATGTACTTAGTACTTGCCTTGCTCTGAGGTACTTTCCAGACAACTAGCAGAGTGTCAGGTCCAAATCCAGATTCACCTCAGTAGCTGTTCTCTGAACTGGGTTTTGCCAATTAATACCCAGAACCTTTTTGTTTTCATTCATTTAGTTCTCATCCACAAAGGCATTGGAATAAGCTGTCCACTTATTCTGATTTTCCCTGGAGATAAAAGGGCAGATTTTGGTTATATACATTCATTGACTTAGATCTGGGGCTTCTACCTTCCATAGTCAAGGCCTCAACCAGAATTACGCAGTCTGTCATGCAGGTTTGTCTTAGTGGCACCTGGAAGCAGCTGTTGGCAGCACTCAACTGCTAATCTACAACAGTCACCTATTTCCAGTCTCTTCCTTCCTCTGCACCCTTCTCTCTGTGTGCCTTCTCCAGCCCTTCTTCCCTTGCATTTCCTCATTCTTCTCCCTCTTATTTTCCTCCCTTCCTCCTTTCCTCCTTCTCTCTGTCTGTCTCTCTGTCTCTCTCCCTCTCTTTCTCACCTTCTTTCTCTCATTTTCTCATTACTGTTGCTTTTCTCATAGGCTCTTCAGAAACTCAAGGGAGAGGACTTCCAGCTCTCAGAGCATAAATTTAGACTTAAACATTATAATAGCCCTGAAGGAGAAAAAAATTTGTACCATGCCATCTGATCAGTTTCAATTTCTATGAAAGACAGGTCTTTATAACTGGACATATTGTTCCAAGTGGTGAGGCTGGTCGCCCTATAGAGACTAAGGAGGGGACTTTTTAAATTTTTAGTTAAAAAGAACCTTAGAGTTCATCTGCCCAGGATTTCCCTCGCTTGCTCATTGGAAAAATTACCTGGATTTTTTATTAAGTAATGGAAATTCCTAGGTGCCACCCAGCCTTTCTGGATTATGAGCTCTAAGGAAGGGCCCTTGGAATCTATGTTATGTTTTTCTTGTTGTTTGTTTGTTTTAACAAGCTGCTCAGGTAATTATTAGGATTAGGAAAGTTTGGGAGTCCTGATATAAGATAACCACCACCCTTTAAAACTGAGGAAACTGAGTCAGCTTAATGAATTGATGGCTTGAGTTACTCAGTCAGTGAATAGGCTGTCATAAATTTACTGATAGTGTGATATTGATCACTTAACCTGAGTATAATTTTCCCGAGTATCATTAGCACCTGTTTCTTGGGGCTGTTATGAGAATAAGATGAGATAATACGCACAGCCCTTTGTGAAGAGCTAGGTGAATTTATTAAAGGGCTAAACTAGGACACCCGCTCCATAGCTTCGGCTCCACCCCAGTGGCTCTTCACACTTTGTTAAAGTATTTTGAACTTGTTTTTCCAAACTGGAAACTACCTGTTGATTTCAAGGGATATGAAAGATTTCTTAATCTCTGATAATTTACTGTTTGGTTTAAAAGCACAAGTCTTAAGCCTGTTACGTTAATTGAGCATTCTGATGGACTCGCTAAGCACTTAATACCTCTTGAGCAAAGTTGAGGCTTAAAACAGTTATCCCTGTGCAGGTGTGAAATCGAAGCAACTCTTGAAAGGCTGAAAAAACTAGAACGTGATCTCAGCTTTAAAGAGCAGGAGCTCAAAGAACGGGAAAGACGTCTGAAGATGTGGGAGCAAAAGCTGACGGAGCAGTCCAACACCCCGGTGAGTGTTCCCGACAGTTTACCTGTCCCCCACTTAGAAGGATGTGGCTGAGCATGGCAGCATGGCAACTCCCCTCCACCCCTCCCCCCTCACACTGCCGCCACCTCACTTTCTGCCTAACAGCTGTATATTAAAGGGCCCACGTTTATGCTCAGGCAGCGCTCATATCTCATTTCAGTGAACAAAATGCCAGAAATTTGGAAGAAAAGCTTATCCTATTTCT